TTGTGTGCAAATTTTTATTTATTTTATATGTAATTTTATGTATTAGGTGATAATATGTTCTATCAACATAATTGCTAAGAACTGGTAAGACTCTTCTTCCATCTTTGGCAAAATAAAGCAAATCTCTGAGTAGCAACAGATACCTTTTCTTAACTCTGATCTGGGTGAAGTCAGAGAGAAAGCTGTGATTTTATTAGTCACACCCTGGACTATTTCTGAGGGCTCAACTTCAGGCCTGATTATTCTGGAAATATGACAATTCAAGAACTCAGGTAATGATATGGATTCAAGCAAAATCTAAAACATATAGTTAAAATCATAAAATACCTTCTATGTAGGAAAGCAACCAACACAGTGTATTATGGACTTATAGGTTCTATTTGCTTATAGATTAGTATTATTAAACATACAACTTATAAAAGAAATAATTAAAATGCATTCTTTATGTTCAGTATGCTACTATTTATAAACTCCAGCTTTGGGATATCACCATGGCAACAGGAATATACAATCAGCTCAGTCCTCTATGCTATGATTTAAAGATTGCAATATGCTTAAGAAAGGCAGAAACAATTTCACAATAGTCATCAACCTGCTCATAAAATAGGAGAAAGATGGGCCGGCCTCATGGCGCACTCGGGAGAGTGCAGCGCTTGGGAGCGCAGCAGTGCTCCCACCGTGGGTTCGGATCCTATATAGGGATGGCCGGTGCACTCAGAGTGGTGCGGGCGATGCCAAGCCAAGGGTTATGATCCCCTTACCGGTCACAAAAAGGACAAAAAAAAAAAAAAAAATAGGAGAAAGATGAGATGAGTATTTGAAATGGCAGATAAAAAAATAAATAAAAATAAAAAAATAAATCATTCTGTTGGACGATGACTGATAGCTACTCTGATAGTTGAGAGAATGAAATATTTCTAAAATAAATGAATGAGTGATTAATAAGCCAACAGAATGATTTAAAACAAGAGGAAGAAAATTCAGATAGAAGAGCTATTGTGTGCAAACAACCATGTGATGTTTGTTTACAATTTCTCCTGTAAGACAGAACTGACAAAAACCTATTAGTTTGGTTTTCAGAGCACATGTACTTAGTCTTCAGATTAGAACAAAGATAAAATGGTGCATAAGATCACATCAATTGCCCTCAAGGAACATGTGTGTATGCATGTGCATTAATTAAACTTAGTATTTACAGAGTGCATTTAGGTGCCCAGGAACACAAAGAAAACTTAAGCATTGTCCCTGGCCTTAAGAATTAATAGTCTAATGGAGAAAACAGTACTCTAAATAAAATGTAACAATTTACTATAACTGCTGAAGCAGAAGTACATAAAAGTACTACGGGAACATAATTCCATAGCAATATTTTTCTCAATTATTCAGAAAGAATTGATGCTTGTGTATATACCAAAGTCCAGATGTTATTGAAAGTTAAGAGGCAGAGATTTATGAAATACTGTAAAATTCACAGTCCGATGAATTGACCAGAAGCAGATCAGTGGACATAAAGACATTCAACTGAAGTATGATTCCTCAACTTAAATAATTACAAGTTCTTCAAATTTCTAAAATATCTACCTGCTGTAAGGAAGTGTAACACTGACTGTAGTGAAAGCTTTATTAAATGACACTGTTAACTGACTAATCAGCTACTCAAGTGTGACTTCTGGGACAATAATGCCTGACAGCATCATTCTTCTCTTTGTAGGGTAAATACAAGAGAAGAGCAAAGTAAAAACCTCTCAGCTCCCTGGACAGAAAGCTCGCCAGTGTGCTAGGCAGAACAAATGGCAAATGGGCTTGGGAGTGGGTGAAAACATCAGAAGTTCCACAGTCACCCTGGAACACTCTGCTTCTCGTTTTAGGTTACCAGCGTTTCCTTTTGATTGTCAGTGTCACTACTGAAAAGGGGCTCAAGCTTCAACTTAATTCAGTGGAAAACAGGCTGAGACTGCAACCTTTCTCAAAGTCACATAAGGCAAATACCATTTTCCCCCCAAGCTACTGCTTGGGACACAAAATTCTTGAAAAAATTACTCGTAAAGCCCAGACCCATTCCCTGACATGGATCACTGAAAAAAGAAAACCCATTCAGTAAGCAAAACTGAAATTGCTTTTTCCTAGTTAGAAAACATTACCACCTAGGTCACTTGAACCACTTGAACTGTAGTCTGTATCTCAAATACTTTTCTGTCATTTCCTATTATCCTTACATTCAATAAACATTCTTTAAATGCTTACTGTGTCTTACACCTGGGGTCGAACACTTTCTCTTAAAGGGCCAGGTAGTAAATATTTTAGGTTTTGCAGGACAAGATATAAAATCAAGGAAATTCTGTAGGTACTTACAATACTGATAAAGTTATTTAAATATATCCTACTTAAAATATAAAATCATCTTTCATTTGCAGGGAAAAAAGGGCCATAAATCAATAAAACCAATATTAATAACATATTATATTATTCTCTCAACAACTTTGGTTAGTGAGTATTATTTTTCTCATTTTTCAGATAAGGAAATGAAGCTCAGACTAGTCATATGATTTGGATGTATTAGTAGGTTGTATAGCCAGGATTCAAAGTTATAGCTTGTGGATAACGGCACAGTTAATATCTCCAACATCCCATATGTAGCTCTCTCAAATGCAAAGAGATGGAGTAATTCCTAATAACTCAGATTATGAAGTGTATCCTAAAATAGTATCATAAGTATTACTAATTCTAATTAACATTGGTAATAAAATAGTAAATATTTATGATTTCAGTGACCTGACACTGTTCCAGATTCTTAAATCTTTGATCTCATTTGCTCAATGGAGAAGCTACTGTTATTTTCCCATTTTACAAGGGAGGAAACTGAGGAGGAAAGAGATAAAATAACTTGCCTAAGGATCCCAGTATTACTCCACAGCAGAACTGGTGCATTACTCCAGGTCTTCCTAAAGTTAAAACTCTAGTTGTTTTGAGACTCAAGTTGTAATTCTCCATTTTAATTTGAGATTTTTTTTTTTCTTGTTCATCCTTCAGGGTTGCTAAGGGATAACTACTTCCTTTCTTCTATCTCTATGGTCAAAGGGATCACATAATTCAAAACTAAAAACTAAATACAACTGTTGGGATTAAAGGGTGAAATCAAGTGTAATTTTTCTGAGAGTTAAATCATAAAATTTATGAAAAACCAATGAGGTGAAGAACAGAAATCCCAGACTAAAGCAAAATTTGAGAGTAGCCACGTTGGTAATGTTAACGCATCTTCATATGTAAAAATTTTTATGTAAAAAATCCTAAGAGAATGTCTTTACTCAGCATGGAATACAGGAAGAGAAAATACAGAAGTGTGCCAAGAGGCAAACTTTGACAAAGACCAGAAGAAGGGGTAACCCAAAGACTTGGCTCATCTAGTTCTCTGCACCAAGTACTTTCCTACAACAGAGACAGATGATGCCATTACACATTGTCACTACACCTAGATGGCAAATATGTTTCATGTTACCTGCCAAATCCTAATGAATTACAGTGGAAGTTCTTCAGGGCTGTGTTGAAAGGGCTTTGTAGGCCAAGTCTTAAGTCAGTGGGGAGGGGTGCCATGACTGATTAGCCATCTCTGCCAGGAGTCAGAGTGGCTGTATTAGCAGACCCTTCCATACCACTTGATCCCACTTTTCTGATTTTGTGAGGACAAAACTTCTGAGTGTAATCAGAATTTCATGTATCTTTCTATACAGAGAACAGCCTGATATCCAGGAGTCCAGATCTCTTGACCAATATATTTCTGGTTTGCAGACTAATCAATTGTCATTCTAGTTCACTGACTAGCATTTTGTGAAGCTGGTTATATAAACTCCAACCGGGCAGTAGTATCCACTCTCAGTGAACTGACAAAGCCAGTTTTCTGCGTCAGCAATACAGGTTGATCATCCCAAATTCAAAAATTCGAAGTTCAAAATGCTCCAAAATTTGAAACTTTTTGAGCGCCAACATGATGCTCAAAGGAAATGCTCACTGGGCCAGCCCGTTGGTGCACTGCTACAGTGCACCGCTTGGGAGCGCGGCGGTGCTCCCGTCAAGGGTTCGGATCCCACATACAGACCGGTTCCCGCTCACTGGCTGAGCGAGGTGCGGGCGCAACACCGAGGGTTGCGATCCCGTTGCCGGTCCCAGTCCGGTACGGGCGTGACACTGAGGGTTGCGATCCGTTGCCGGACACAAAAAAATAGACAAAAAGGAAAAAAAAAAAAAAAAAAGGAAACGCTCACTGGAGCATTTCAGATTTCAGATTTTCAGATTTGGGATGCTCAACCAGTATAATACAAATATCCCAAGCATTTTGGATAAAGGATACTCACTCAACCTGTACTGATGAACAGATCCCAT